TCCAGCTCATCCCATGGTTCCAGGTGTTCAGCTTTGGGCAATGCTGCTCTTCCTGGTCCTTCCCCAGCCCGAGCTCGTTGCCTTTGGTGCAAATTGAGATGTTTATTGATATATTTTCAGCTTTAATGGCTTTTTCTGCCCTTTTTTTTTTTGCCTGCAGTGTCCTGACAGGGCACAACCACTATGTGATGTGTGCCCAGTTCCACCCCTCGGAGGACCTGGTGGTGTCTGCCAGCCTGGATCAGACCGTGAGGGTTTGGGATATCTCTGGTGAGCTGCCAGGGGGGCCAAGCCCACCTCAGAGCAAGGGCTGGGAAGGGTCTGGAGAGTCAACCTGCTGAGGAGCAGCTGAGGGGGCTCATCCTGGAGAAAAGGAGGCTGTTTCTTAGTTATTGTCCAGGCAACAAGGTGCTGGAATGAAATATCCCTGAAGGAAGAGCTGGGAATAAGGGTGATGTTAACTGGTGGGGGGCTGGTGGTGTGAGAGCATGGATTGTTCTAGATCCTGTGGCAGTTTTGGTTGGACACACTGTGCTCGTGGCACAGGCTCAGGCACTGCCAGCTGTGTCAACAGCCAGGATATCCAGGGGACAGGATATCCTGGATATTTAAAACCTGTCCCCCCTCGGCTCTGCCAGCCCGGGGAGCGTTAACAGCTCTTCAGCCACCGAGCTTTGCTGCTCCATCCTCCCAAAAACCTCCCTCTCAGCAGAGTTCCAGCTGCCAAATTGGTTTGGAGATGGTACAGGGCTGTTTTTGCCTCGGCTGATCCGTGGTGAGGGGGTTTAGGGACGTGCTGGATTATTGACTCAGCTGTCGCTCCGCTCGGACAACAGCTCTGGCGTGTGGAAAAACCGACAGGGAGATGAGGAACGGATTCCAAACATCATCCCACTCCACAGCTTTTCTCCAGGATGACTTATGTCCTTATCAGGATTCTGCTCTGGCTCCAGCAGTCCCCTGGGAAGAGTTATTTCCCGTTTTGTCTGGTACTGTTGTGTCCATAATCCTCGTCGTGGAGCTCCGTGCGTGCTGGGCACTGTTGGCAGCAGTGGCAGTTTGTGCAGCGGGTTTTGATGCCCTCAGTTCCATGAGTTTAAAGGTCACATTCCAAAATCCTCCTCCCTGAACTGTTGCCCTCAGCAGAGGGGGTGAGGGACGAGGAGAGTTCCCGGTTTTCACCTGTGACAACAGCCCAGGAGAGCGTTTGGGTTGTTAAATTAGAGACGTAAAGGGTGGACTCTGATCCTGGAGGGCTTTTCCAACCGCAGGGGTTCTGTGGTAATAAAATCTTTGCTTCCCCTAATGCTGCCTCCTTTTCCCCTTTGCTCCACAAGGCCTGAGGAAGAAGAACCTGTCCCCTGGAGCCGTGGAGTCGGATGTCAGGGGGATCACGGGCGTGGATTTGTTCGGGACGACGGACGCGGTGGTGAAACACGTCCTGGAGGTACAGCCCCAGCCTGGGTGGGCAGCACAGCCCCTGCACAGTCATGTCAGGGGATCTCTGTGATGCTCCAAAAGCCCTGAAAAATATCAGGAAACCAGAGTTAAAAATATCAGGAAGCCAGAGTTCCAACCAGACTTCTGATGGTACAATAATTAAAATCCTGTGGATTGTGGAATCGGCAAGAGCCGTCTCTCGCTGTGGCAAACCTGCCTCAAGTCTTTGTGGCTTTGTCCTTCCTTTGCTTGTTCCTTTCTGTCCCCAGATGGCTTCAGGTGGCTCCTTTTTCCCCTGCAGGGCCACGACAGGGGGGTGAACTGGGCCGCCTTCCACCCCACCATGCCCCTGATCGTGTCGGGGGCCGACGACCGGCAGGTGAAGATCTGGAGGATGAACGGTGAGAGGGTTCTCTGGGGCAGCCCGTGGGGAGAAGGGGCTTGGGTTGAGTTCAGGGTTGGGTTGGAGCTGAACCTGGAGGTGATTTACACCGGGGAGGGGCACCTGGAGTGCCGTGTCCAGGGCTAGGCCCCTCAGGACAGGAGAGACATGGAGGGGCTGGGGCATGTCCAGAGAAGGGGCTGGAGCAGCAGGAGAAGGGTCTGGAGAACTCCTAAGGGAGCTGGGGGGGCTCATCCCGGAGAAAAGGAGGCTCAGGGGGGACCTTCTGGATCTCTACAACTC